GATCTCTGGGAAGAGGTTAACCCACTATAGAAGGAAACGATAAGTCTCTCGCCCACTGTGACAAACAGTGGAAACTCACCTTGATATAGGTGGTCAGGAGCAAGGCTCGAGTTGCAGCTGAGCAAGTGTTAATTTTGGAATGAACAGCTTGGAACTGCTCGATCGGGCTACAGCCGTCATCATTGGCGATAAGATGTCCAAATTCGCCCAAGATATATCCTCCGACTTTAATCATGTTCTCATGGCAAACTGGGACGCGAAGGTGTCTATAGACCGCTTTCGCAGCGTAAATTTGAAGGTCTTCGTTGTTTGTAACCAGTTGAACCACTCGATACCACACTTCAGGTCCAACATGGTCTCCGGCGGTGGAAATGAGCTGAAGGATGGTGTCCACATACCACTCGTACTGCAGATACCATGCCGGTCAGCATGGCTTTGAACGATGAAGATATACCAGCACACGTACCTCTACTGCGAATCGCTCTGTCAATATTGCAATTTTAAGCACCATTTCTTCTCGAAGATTGTAATCGGCGACCTGCAAGTATTTGAGCAGTTCCCCTACTATAGTCTTTGCGTTTGAGGTATCGCACATGGAGTATAATAGATCCAAACCTCTTCGCCTCACTGAAATATCTCGATCTTTGAGCGACAATATAATTGTGTCCTGATGCTTCTTGATAGGGGTGAGGGACGCTGACACTGCCGCCAGATGGGCCATGACATCCAGCCCCAGATACCTGACGTTTGTCTCCTTGGCCAAGATAAATTTCCCTAAAAGTCTTGCGGCATTTTGTACGATCTGGGATTCCGGATCGAGATGGATCGCCAAGTTGATAGCTTCGAACAGAATCGCATTCTGAGCATTGTTATGCTGAACATTTTTTGGCGTTTCCTGCGAGTTGTTCACGATAGTATTCAACGTGTTATGGAGCACTTTGAGGATCTTCTTGTTTTCCGGTGGTGGGTAATATTGAAGCAGTCGGAGAAGCTTGACTTGCAGCCATGGAATAGGTACCTTGTAGTATATGTAATCCGAAGGGAAGTCTCGATCAAATACGAGGTGAGTCAATCGGTCGACCGCTTTTTGATAGCACATGGCGTATGCATCCAAATGATCATGGGCAAGAGACATGACCAGAGTAGTCACGGTCAGAATGACGCCTGGATCGCGTTCGTCCATCATTCGAACAAGGCGGTCAGCCCATTCCTCTACCGGTAGCACCGTTGGATGCTTGCGATAGAACCTGAGCAGGGTAAGTGCAGCCTTCTTTTTGACGAAAGTAGTCGACGTGCTGCAAACAAGAAAAAGCATGGAGGTTTGAGCCCCGTCAGTGCATTCAGCTGACATGCGCACTTACGGACTTATTAGCAATCTATGCACATCTTCTCCCAAAGCTTCGGCCATTTCTTTGCCTCCGATGTTGGCTATAGCGTTCAACGCCAGACAGTTGTTGACTTCATTGTTGTCGTCCAAATCCTTTCTGATCGAATTGATCACCAGTCGTATCAATTCGGAATTTTCATGCATGAGCAAAGTGATAGCGAGGTATCCCTAAACTCACAGATAATCAAAACTTGGTTAAACAACAAGCAGTCACATGATAACTGAAGGTCGGGTATTTTAAATGGCTTACTATCTGCTTCTCGCTATATTTGTTACTTGACACCAGATTGACTGCTTCCATATGCCCGACATCCACTTTGTACCCGAGAATATACGTGAATACGACTTTGGCGAGATATTTCTTCTTTTGATAGCCGTCGAGATTGCCCTCTATTTAAGTTCACAGTAACATACACATCCAAGTGGCATTAATGGAAGACTCGTTTGCGAAAGACCTGACATCTCAAGTTCGATGTCATACCTTTGAACTTCTGCCTGATATGCGCCATTTCGCGATTGATCCTCTTCTCTTCTAGTTCGCGGACCCGACACGCTCGGAGATCCGAGATGTACTGGTAAAGGTATAGTATAAGAGTCAGATTCCGGCATGGGGAGGCAATAAGGGGAGGCAGCGCAGTACGCAAAGGAACAGAGCATACCTGGGTGAGACCCCTCATTGCGGTCGCCATCTTTGGCTTTCCAGTAAGCAGACACTTCGATGCCCAAATTATAGTTGGTGGTATATTAGATGCAGTAGATATCATAATAGATTAGTACAATATTTCCAAGGATTAATAACTTATATGCCTTATTTATCAGTTTACTTTATTATATTAAGTTTCTGTAACATAGGTACTCCTTTATCTATTAACTTTATAGGAGAATTATTATCATTAACTGGTTCTATTAATAGAGCTCCTTTACTTGGTGGTATTGCTGCTATCTCTGTTCTTTTATCAGCTTGTTATCAAATGAAATTAACTAATAGATTAACAGGTGGTGTTAAAACACCTTATGTAAGTCTAACAGCTGATTGTACTTATAGAGAAACTATTCTTATGTTATCTTTAATTATACCTACTATTTTCTTAGGTATTTTCCCTATTTGATTAACAGACTTATTATGAGACGCTCCTTCTCTTTTATATTTATTCATTTAACTTATAAATATTTATAATAATAAATATTTATATATTTATAAAGTATATTATTTACATATTCACTATACCTATATAAATATAATAGGAAACATATATATTAAAGAGTATATATATATATAATATATAAATATATATTTTATAGATTCCCAAATATAGCCACCAAGAATTTGGTGGCAGGGAATAATATGTGAGGTATAAAGAATAATAATTTACCCCCCCCCTTTTTAATAAAAAGGGGGGGTATGATAACTTCTTGTGGGTCAATTAGACCCCTTTCGGAGGGGTTGATATTACTTTACGAGGCATAATATGTATATAAGTAATAAAGTATACATATTATAAATAAATCTAATATTAGGTATTTGATAGCTATATATGTTTATATAGATAATAAATATAAAATAAGGAGAAGATAAAAAAGGATAGAAGAAATAAAAAATATATAAGGTAAGCAGTATAATGTAATGGTAACATGCAATGCTCATAACCTTGTAATTGGTAGTTCGAATCTATCTACTGCACATAAGAAATGAATTATAGCTCAATGGTAGAGCAGTCCACTCATAATGGATGTATCTCAGTTCAATTCTGAGTAATTCAATATAAATTAATAAAATAAATGAGAACATGATGTTGGTTCAGATCTAATGCTATGTAGAGGCATAACACATGCAAATAATTTATATATTTATATATATAAATTGTGATAAGGTGAGTGACAATGTATAAAAAAAATTATACATTACAGATGTAGGTATTAGATGTAAAAATCTAGCCATGGAACTGGAGCCGGCGATTTTCGTCACAACGGCCACATAACTTCGATAGAGGTTACTCTTATTAAGAGCAGCAGTGGGGAATCTTTGACAATGATCTAACGATTGATCAAGCTATCTACGAGAAGGAAATTATATAAATAATTTTATATCTCCCTTCGGGGGAAATATTATTAGATTAAATAATTAAAGGAAAACTATAAACTTCTAAGTATATATAATAATGATATATATATGAAAAAGTCCTAACTAAAACATGTGCCAGCAGCTGCGGTTAGACATGGAGGGCTAGCATTGTTCGGAATGGCTTAAAGAACCTGTAGAACGATTTATAATTAAAATAAATTAGAATAAATTATAAAGTGATATGAAATAAAGTTAGAGGGATGAAATACAACGAAAACATTATGACAGCAATAAAATCACAATAATTTATTGACGTTGTGAGGTGAAGGCTACGGGCGCAACATGGATTCGATACCCATTTAGTCGTAGCAGTGAACTATGAATACAATAAAAGAAAAGTGAAAATGAATAGTATTCCGCCTGACTAGTACGCTCGCAAGGGTGAAATACAAGACATTAGACGGTTGTAGTCATGAGCAGTGGAACATGTCGTTTAATTGGATAATCCTCCTAAAATCTTACCATCTCTTGAATATCTTACAGGCGTTACATCGTTGTCGTCAGTTCATGCCGTGAGGTTTAATATTTAGTTATTTAATGAACGTAATCCCTTATATATATCTTTATATATTAAGCATTATTGAGAAATAATGGGAAGTCGGGGCCGAAGACTAATCATGATGACCCTTATGAGATGGGCTATAGACGTGTTACGAAGTTATTGACAATTATATTTATATTATAAATTAATTTAAATATTAAACAATAAGATTATGACATAGTTACTTTCATGGATTGTAGTCTGAAATTCGATTACATGAAGGAGGAATTGCTAGTAATCGCGAACTAGAGTGTCGCGGTGAAATTTTTAACTACTTCGTACTAACCACTCATCAACAGCAAGAAACTCTTACTTTCCTTACATTTTTAACTTTTAATTAAGTTAAATTTGACCTAGGTTTGTTTACAAGTGACCTGCTGTAAGTTGAAATACGGTTCGGTTAGGGGAACCTGATCGGGTTTTATTATTTTTAAATATATTCTACTCAATAGTCTATATCTCAATGGTAGAGAGATCGATTGATAATCGATAGATGTAAGTTCAATTCTTACTAGACTAATTTTATTTCTTTACACATCCCCCCCCCTTATCACTATATACCTGGTGATCATTTATTTTACCTCTCCTACCCTCACCCTTTGGGGTAATGAGAAATTGATTTATATTCTTATATTTATATTTATATATTTATATTAAGATATTTATATATTATAAGTGTTATCCCCCTTCCTCATATATCATATATGAGGAAGGGGGAAGGTAATAAAAAATATTATTATATTTTGTTAAATATAATAATAGAAAGAAGAAGTATGAGTTGTAGACTAATCTTTTTCAAATGAAAAAGATTGTACAGTCTACAACGGGTTATGAATATATAATAAAATATGAATTGTATAATTATTATGAGATGAGTTGTAGACTAATTGGCAAGTCCCCTATATTTGAGATAGGCTTATGTATGTTCGAATCATGCCGACTCAGTTATAGCTTTGGTAGCTTAAAGGTAAAGCCTTATAATGTCACTATAAGAGTTGTCAGTTCGAGTCTGATGCAAAGCGTTAATAAATTTAAATAATAATAAAAGGATAGCTAGGCATTGGTAAGCCGACCTACTTGCTATGTAGTAACATTTATGTTCTCAGCGTTCGACTCGCTGGCTATCCGTTGGCATATAGCATAATGGTTAGTGCATATTATTACGAATAATGTTATG